AAAAAAAAAAATCACGCTAGGCACGTGTGTGTGTGTGTGTGTGTGCGTGCATGTGTATGTGTGTGTGCCTGAAGTCCTGAGAGGAGAATGGAGGAGAACGAATGACAAATGGCAGTGTGGCTACCCGCATGGACAGGGGGATTTCCACTCTCTCTCTCTCTCTCTCTCTCTGAGGGGGATTTTCCACTCTCTCTCTCTCTCTCTCTCTTTCTCTGTCTCTCTCTAGCAAGCATGTGTGCCCTATGGCAAAAACTTAAAAAAAGAAATTTACCAGAGGGGACATGTGCTCACCAGAGAGAGACAGAGACAGAGAGGGATTGGAAGAAAGCACCTCTGGGAGGGCAGGAGACGTGGTCATGCTGCAACCCCGTCTCCTCCACTTCTCCACCCCAAGATCCCACACGCCCAGACACCCATGCCTGGCATGTTGCCCAAGTCACCGGGACTGGGACTAGAACCGAGATTGGCCATGTGGGTCCCTTGACCACCAGGTCACAGAGCCAGCCCAGTTCCTCACTGTTCCATAGGATCCCACAGGGCACGTGAGGACGGGCTCTCACGGGAGAGAGAATCCAAACCCAGGCAGGAACTGGAGACTGTCAGAGCCACACGAGGGCAGCCCACAGAGAGCTGGGTCTGCTCCTCCCTGAGCGGCAGGGTTTCTGGGGTCATCTGCGGAAAGCTAAGGAGCACTGGGGACCAGGAGGTCGGAGAGTGCACTGCGATCCCACTGCTCCCTCAGGGAGGGGAGGCAATTTCAGGGGGTCCCTGGGTTCCCCACGTGGTAGAAGGTGCCAGAGAGAGGGAGAGACGGGTCATCCTGGGAGGGCGAGGGCCTCCAGGCACAGGGAGCCCACTGGGCCTGGCCCTCTGTGCTCTCACGGACCACAGCTGCGAGGACGCTGCCTCAGGAGCTATTGGGACGGGGCGGGGTCCTCGGGGCCAGGGTCAGGGCAGCTGTGATGGGGAGCAGATGCCACAGGGGTCCTGGACCCAGAGTGAGGACGGGGACAGGTCCAGGTGAGACACAGGTCCCTTTCGGAGAGGACTGGGCTCTTGTCAGGACGGGCAGGACACAAAGGCCCCACTTGGGCCAGTCCCTCGGTGACCACCGCCTCGAGGGTCAGGCCTGAGACAGTCAGTGTGGGCACAGGGAGGAGCCTGGGTAGAGAGAGGGTTCTGAGATAGATGGAAGGTTCCAGAGAAGACACAGGTGCTCTGTCACACACACATGCCCACACGCACACGCACACGTACATATATTTGAAAGTCCATGAGCATACACACTCACACACATGCCCAGGTCCCAGGTCACCGTCCCCAAGCCACCCCCTCTCTGTCCCTCTTCTCTCCTCGGGACACTCGCCATAGACCCCACTGGTGCACTGGGGCTCACCTGGGTACACGGACACCACAACCTGCACGTGGGTGTCCTGGTCCCAGGGTCGGTCAATCGCAGACCAGTAGGTGCCTGCGTCCTCCTCTTTGAGGTTCTCCAAGGTCACTGTGAAGGTGAGGCTGGCAGGATGGTCCCTGATGGACACTCGGCCTCTCCGCACTTCCAGCTGTGACCCGCGGATCTCCACGATCTTGTCACAGAGCAGGCGAAGCGGCGTAAGTGACTTTCTGCACCAGTACTTGCTATCTGCCTGGAATTCCCGCTGGTACCGAAACTGCAGGCTCAGGGACCCGCCCACGGTGCCCGTCGCGGTGCTGGGGCCGCTCAGGGAGAAACAGCCTGCAACACACAAGCAGCACGGGCTCTCACCGGATGGCCTGGGCAGGGGGCCCCGGGCTCAGGTCCTCGAGGGCCCTCGGGGGCTAGAGGAGACAGTGCAGGGAGACAGGCCTTGCCAGACCCAGGGGCTCAACTGAGGGATTGAGGAGCTGCTTCCTGGCAGAGCTGTGCATGAGGGGTGTCCCTGCAGACAGGAAGGATGTGGGTGTGACAGCACTGTGCGTGTGTGCGTGTGTGTGTCTGTGTGTGATAGTTCACGTGTACGTGCGTGTGCAACTATGCCTGTGAGTGCTCTCCTATGAACATGTGCACCTGTGTGTGTAGTGGACCTGGACGGCACTCTGAACTGTGTCCTTACGCTGTGACAATCGTGGAACCCCTCGCTCGAGGGCTTATTCTGTACCAGGCGCCATGAATATTATTCGCCTGCACTGGGCCCCGATTCTTCTCATCCCTGCCAGGCAGGCGCTGACACTCCAGGTGTTCCTCCGCCCTCCTGCCCTGCCCAGCCCCACTCGGCTGCCCTGCCCTCCTGCCGCACCCCTCCCTTTCTCCCACTCCGGACAGACCTGGTCCGGGCTGACCCCGCTCACCTGGGACATGCAGGAGGAGCAGAGCTGAGGGCAGCCACGCAGCCCCGTCCCTCATGGTCATTTTTCTCACAGATGTCTCCCGCAGGCCAGGTTCCGGAACCCCTCACAGTGGGCCCGTCCCCGTGTGCACTTCTGCTTTCTACTCCTCATTTCCTTATCCAGCCCCGTCTCAGGCCTGCGCTCTGGCTGGTCACGTTGCAGGAGCCTCAGGGAGAGGAGCCGCCTGGGCCCAGGCAGGTGCCCTGGGACTCGGCACTGCTGGGCATGACCAGGCCCTGTCGGCTGGGATGCCGCCCTCCCACACCCTCACTGCCGGTCCCCTGCCTCACTCCCCACTCCACACAGCAGAGCCACACCGGCCCATTCCTCCCACTGGGGCTTCCCGCCCCCATCACTTGTCACTTCCTGTGTAAGGATGCACAGTCTGGGGTGGAGCCACCTCCGTCCACCCTCTCCGGCCCCAGTGCTGACGTCACAGGAAGGGGCTGGTAACAAGGTCGTGATCGCTTGATAAGAAGCAGCAGCACTGTGTAGGGTGGCCGGAGTCAGGATACTTGAATCCCTTGGGAGGAGCCCAGCACCGAGAAGCAGTCCTGTTAGAGTGAGCATGTTCCTAAGTCCCGTGACAGGTCCAGAGTGTCCCCACGTCCTTGGCCAGCAGGTGTTCTGGTGACCACCAGCTCGGGCCGAGGAATGTGTCCTGGAGACCTCCGGTCCCCGCAGTCCACAGTGCTCTGCGTGCACCTCCTCGTGGCTCAGTGGGCGGACCCCGTGCTCAGTGTCCTGCCACAGTAAAGTTAAAACCTTATGAAGTCCAGAGGAAAGCCCTGCATGGGCTGGCCCCAGCCTCATGGGTAAGGGAGTCGAATCTTGCATGGCTGTGTGCAGTTTAAATCCCAGCCACAGGGCCTGGAAAAACACCAGCGTGTGTGTGCAAAATCTCAGCATGATGGGGAAGCAGAGAAGGGAAGGCGGTGTGACCTCTCTCAAAGGAAAGTATTGATTTGCAGATGCCCAGGAGCACGATCTGCAGGTGGCTTGGAGCGTTTCCTGTGTTCCTGTCCCTGCGGCTGGGAAGGAGAAACACTCCTGTCCTTGAGTGTCAGGCTGTGTCACTGATCCTTCCAGATCCCTCCCGACAGGCTGGGCTTCCAGGGAGGGCTCCCGTCCCCCAGAAAG